CTATGATTAACAGTGCCATTTGTTACACTGAGCTATGTTTGATTTTGAATAAGAATAAAGAAGGGAAAGTGTCAGAAAACTGTTCCATAATTTGCTCAAAATAGCACTTTTTTATTACACCTCTAAATAAAAAATAAAACAAGCGAAAATGAAAAGCACATGAGCAAAAGAAAGATTTTAAGTGTCTTACCAGCCTTTCAGCCATGTGTAGGATTATATTCACAGGGTCTAATCTGTGACTTATATCCTCCCAAAAGGAAGTCAGCGTTACAACTGGCTTTGTGTTTGCCCATGGCAAGTAGTAATAATAATTACCTGGTGAGAAAAAGTTGTGTGTTAGACCTAGAATTCATGGCAGGAATACATACTGCACACTGCACAGGTGGAGATTTATTTCATTCATGTACCACAAATCATTAAGAACATACAAGCTAGTCCAAATTTATCAAAAAAATTGTACTTTCAAACCACTGCAGCATCTGTTGAATGGCACACTTTTACTTCAAAGTCTTTCAAAATCCAACAGATTTTATAAATTAAATTAGCTGTTAACATGTCCATTATTCTTTCCCATAGCTTTCCAATGTGGATGGCATATTAATGTAAGTCTATCTTTGAAATAAAATGTTCAAGTAATTATTTTCCTGAGTAAGCCTGATCACTTCATTTAATACACAGGAAAAAAGAACAACTCTTTACATTTAATAAAAAAATTACAGCCAAAATATATTTGCCTGTGATCCAGCTAGGCTGTTTTTTCTAGGCTGCCAGATGCATGGTTTAAAAAACAACTTATTATTTTATTCTAAATCAGAATATTCAAAGGGTATTTTCCCTAGTTAATCCCTAGATACTTATAAAATAATGTGACTTTCTTTTTCCCTGTGCACATCTAGTACAGGCTCAAAACTTTTGACTGAATTATGTAAAAATGTCATTATTAACCTCAGTATGCTTTGCAGCATGTATTCCACCAATGTAACTTCATCTCAAAAGCTGTGAAGAGCCACACACTCTTTTCTGTGCCATTTTCAACAAACTTTCAGTGCACTCAGGGCTGACATTCCAAAGCAACACAACAGCACCTCAAAAAGAGAATCTTAGAGCATTTCATGCCCATCCCATCCCCATCCTTACCATCAAAAACAGCACGACTGTACTGAGTTGTTGATGCCAAAGGTTTACAGGTGGTATCAAACTTATTGCCATAGTTACCAATACTAACTTCAAACTGGATAGGCTCTCCAGTGTCTTGCAGCATGGTAGCAGAATGAAACACAGCAGAAAGGCAGAACTTCCTTCTCCGCTGGTATTTCTACGAGAACAACCTTTTTAGTTGTATTTCAATATTTGTTAAATTGGATCCACAATTAGAGAAAACAATAGCAGCTTCTTAATGGAAATAATAACTTTGATATTTTTATTATTTTCTGAGATGCAATGAAAAAATGTAATATTATAGCATCACATATATATGTAACATATCTATATATGTGTATATTGGTAAAACATATATATTAAATATATATAAATATAACATGTATAATAAATTACCATATAACTTAAATAACAAATTGCAGTATTTGATATTATAAAATGCCTCAAACTCAAGTTTCTTGCTATGAGGGTATGACATTTTTGAGGCCACAACTCCTCAGCCACCAATACCACATCTCATAATTTGAAGACTCAACTCTATTGTTTCAATTTTAGTGAGTTAGATCTTTCTCCAAAAACAACCAGCCAAGGCACTTCTCCATTACCAACAGTGACAATAAAACAATTATTTACCTCAACAACCAGCAAGTCATCACTAGGAATCATCTCTAATTTTTTATTAACAGGCTTGCTTTCAAGTATTGTAGATAGTTCAACTAGAATTCTCCCTCTATAAGCAACTCCTTCTCCCTGTAACATAAACACATATCAAATCCAATTTTATGCATTTGTCCCAAGTAGTGTCCCATTTCTTTAGCTGTACATGATTCTGGTTTCACTGTAATCTCAAAACTTCTGCAGAGGCATAAATGTACATATTTGAGCAAACAAAATAAAGGCTTTAATTAATGCTAGAAGTGAAAACCACATTTGTATAAACAAGGAAATAAGAAATACAAAGGCATGAAAAGATGCAGTTAGTAAAAATCATCAAAAAACCCTTTTAAACAAAAACAGGTGGGAATGGAAAATACTATCACACTTCCTTATTAATCTTAAATATAAAATATTATTTGAAAAGAAGTGCAATGCAAAACAAAAACTACATGAGAATGAATTAATTGATTACAAACAATTAGGTTAAATTCTTTTATTACAAATAATTAATAAAGAAACTGACCTTTCCAAAGTTTAACTCATCATATGGGTCTGGGAATCCAGTGTACTCTCTTGGACTTCCATAAAAGTTTAGGTAACAGGGCCCAAATGTTGGTAAAAAGCCAACTTCAGTTTCTCCAGTGTTTACTAAGAGAAAACATTACCATTATGCCTTTAATTACCATACAGAGACAGAAAAAACAATTAACATGCCTATCAAATCCAGTAGAACAAATGTTAGATATTAGTTAGGTATTAGTATTAGTAATGTGAGAACACTTTATTCTCTGGATTTACCATGTGATTTAAAGCAATTATACCAGTGACTGTACTTAGAATCATACTTGGGCCTAACTTTCTCTTTCACTGTACAGTATTTATTTATACTACTTCATGCAGCAAAAACCCACACAACAAACAACTTCTCTCCCACTCCAAATTTATGTGAAGGGTAATGCACTCTTATGCCAATGGAAAATATGTTTTCTAAAAATAAATGAAACTGAATAAACCAACATCTGTAGTCATTTGAATGCATAGGGCAGTGATCAAGCTAAACTGCACAGTGTAGCAGAACACCCAACTCCCTTTTCAGTAGGCTAAATTTCTTACAAGACTTAAAGTGCAAACTTAGTTGATTCTTCATCAGTTCTGATGACATTCAACTGACTAAAATGAATATACCAACTAAATTGCATAAAATTCCTATTTCATGACTAACAACTTACAATTTCCCAATGTTTTAATCTAGCTAAAAGTATATATTAATAAGTAGATATTTGTCAGTTTTAATAGCTCAGCCAGGGAACTGCACACCACAGCTATTGTTTATTTTCAGATATTTAAGAAATTGAAAAGGCATTTCCATTGCTAATGATTACTGTCATAAAACTGTGTTTTTGAACAATGTTCTAGCAGAAAACTATATATAGAGAATCCTCAATTGCATTGCTACTGTCATCTTTCGGGCTTGTGTTCATACCTTGCAAATTTATTAGATGAATGATATTCCTAAAAGCTCCTTTTATGGCTAATTAAAGTCAATACTTAAGGGAGTTAATTGTTCTTTCAGTAACAATCAAACACATGCCAAGGCTTTGGTTGATAAATTCGATGAGTAGTGCAAAGAGAATTAGAAAAAAGTAATACGCATGCAGAAAAATACTGCATAGCTTTGAGTGAGCAGGAAAGATTCTAGATTCTTTCCCTTCTTGTGTCCCAGCTTTTGCCTTTGAACAAATGATCCTGGTGCAAAAAACCAGATGAGAAATGGATTCTTAACCTTTCTACTGACATCACCTGGATGTCTGCAGCACAAAGAAGGATGCATTTATCATGGGAAAGGATGGCTGAGATAAAGTGTCAGCAAAGGGTTGTGCCTTGTATGACTGCCAGAAAGTGATTGCAAGAAATTATTTCCGCCTTTAACCTAATATTACTTTATTAAGAAAGAAACATACTAAATGCACCAGCATTTCAACTGCACTCCAGTTGTATTTATTTCTCACTATGTAAATATTTACCATACTGTCTTGCAAAACTGAATGCCAACTTAGGCAGTTATGGAAAAAGTTGTTTCTCCAGGTAGTAACCATATCAGATTTGATTTTTCAGACTTTATTTATACAGCTTGTTAAGCATAAGCAAAACAGCCACTAATTACTTTAGGCAGTTACCTACTTCTGCAGGGCTCTGCAGCTGCAAATATAGTAGCTACATTAAAAATTGCAAGCCACTGTTAGACTAAGCACTTTATAATGGAAGCAGCTACATGCTCAACTCTAACACACAGCTGGAAGCAACAGCCACACAGAAAAATCTTCAAACCACTTCCAGTGCCAAAACTGTTTTTATAGAGTTAGTTATGATTGATAATCTTTAGTCATCACAGTGAAATCTTTTAGACAAGTAATTACTAAAAAATAATAATAAAAATGGATTATCTTAGGCTCAGTTTGGGCAATGGAAAGCAAAATCAGTAACAGATGAAGATATAAACCTTCATATGATGAAGACCCTGTTCCCGAAGATGAAAAGTCTATATTATGAAAAGAAAAGCAGTTACATGATAAGTGACAATAGCATTTTAAAAACACACACATCACAAAGCAGTCTCCTTTTAAAACAAAGTAGGCCTCAGAAAAAATAAAGTTCATGTGGGCTAGAATTTTGCTTCCTGATTAAAGTATGAAGGTATTCCTCTTCCTGTACAAATTCTAAAGGGAGAAAAAAGCATATAGATGACAAAATATATTGGTTCAATACTTTTCTTCCATCTTTGTACATTTCTCCTCCAGACAAAATACAAGTTGAAGCTATATTCATTAAAAAGATAGAACATTTTATCTGGCAAATTAACATAAAATCCTTGTCATCAGCTGGCTCAACTGTATGCAAGATCGTGCTATAAAAAGAAGAGGTGATTATAGAGAGGGACCACAAAGAAATAATCAAAAATCACAAAATTAAACATAAATGCAACAGGAATTTTTAAAATATTCCCCAAAATCTGGGCACAAAAATTATTTCTTGAAATATTATAAAGAAGAGTTTTATTACAAAGGTATTGACCAATGGGGAACAAAATGTTAGGCACTTTATATCTTCCCTAACTTGTTTTCTTCCAGTTAATCAGTTTAGGTTTTAAGGTTTTACGAAATTACACATCCAGTCACCTACACTGATTGAGGCATATAAATTAATTGCCTGTAGTCATAGCATTGTAAATAAAATATGCATTTATTGAACCTACTAAAGTAAGGGTTACTAAGTAGGAATTTGGAGCACTCATTCAATAAAATGCACTGTCCATTTCTGGTAAGCTACTGTTGAGAGCAAAGACTGACCCAAGTTCCCCCAGCACCTGAAAGCAGCACAGTAGTACATGGATAGATACTTCCTTTAGCCTAACTATTCAGGAACATTTTACAGCTTTAGGTTCTCTTCCTAGAGAAATAACAGATGGTCATATAAGGTGGCAAAATAAGTCTTCTGCCCAAAGAAGTGTCCAAAGAAGCAGCAATTCTGAAACAGTGACTCCAGTTTGTCTTGAAATTAAATGTCTTATTAGGCATCTAAGGAAATTTGCATATCTTACTCATGATAGAGTGAGTGATATCGCATGGTTTTCTGAATTTGGGAAAGTACTCACAAATTTAAGTCGTTCATTAACTTATATATATAACAGAACACTGAATTTTGAATTAGTTACTGCTATGTCCATGTTGATGTGGTTTAAACATTACAACTTTAACACTTGAACAGTCCCACAGTATGTTTTGTAGGAGCATTGTTTGAAAACTCCAGAAACAGATAATCTTGTTGCCACAGAATTAAGGAACTATAGAAAAATCTACTTTCTTAGAACACTGATCTTTGCTACTCTTTGTAACACAAGAGGAGATAGTAAATTACACAATGCCTAATCAATTACCTTCAACTTCTCCTCCAGAAGAAGCAATTTTTGAGAGACTTAAATATGTTGTTCCCACCACATCATTTTTTGTAAGACGATCCCTACAAAAAGAAAGATTTTCCTTAAATATGATGCGGATCATCCTACAATGAAGAAACCTCCTAGCATACCCATTTTATATCACCTGGAATGCTCTAATATTACTAACAAAGCTGGTAATGACTAGTTACACAGGTGGGCTGTATCATTAAGAAGTCATTTCACTTTTACACTATCACTTAAACAGTGACAGTGCTCACTGCACAAAATTTACAGTAATCCCATGTTACACTAATCAGGCCTCTTGTAAAGAAGCCATAAAGGAAGACCCTCAAACACTGGCTTAAATATTCTCATAGACTGTAAAAATACCTGACTTGTATAGAACCAGGCTTTTCTTCACTTAATATAGTTTACATTGTTTTGTAATTTGATTAAAAGTCATAACTTACCAGTCAACAACTGAGAGTTTTATTTTCTCACACATTGAGGGAAACTGAAAAAAAAGCAAGTAAAGTAACTCATTACTTATTTCACCTCTGTAATATTAATGCCCTGAGTTGCAAAATGATGTCTGTTTTCTACAGAAACAAGGGAAAAAAACTGACCTTGATTTGGAGATAAATAATTTGATTCCACTCTGGATTAGCATTTTTCTCAATTATATTTGTGCAAACCTGCAAAACATGAAATCAACTGTATAGCATATCAAAGATAAAACAGACAAAAAAGCATACACTAGCTATGCCTTAGGATACATCATAATCTGTTTGGTGAAATGAGGGGTAGTAGTTAGGGGTGAATCCTGTGTTTTATACTGCAACAAGCCATTAGCTTTCCATTGGTAAGTACTGCCAAACTGATCTGCATAAGCAATATTAATGCCTATTAGAGGGAAAAGAAAATATTGAAACAGTGTTTAAAGGGAAGATTGGAGTTACCCTATTTTTTTTGCACTAGCTACAATTAAATGAAATTACTTCAGCTTGTTTCCAGTCCCTGCAATGAATGTGCTTTCACACTACTACTGATTTCCTTTATCACAGCAGAGAAACAAGATGAAGGAAGGACTTGCTTCCAGCTTGCTGGATGCAGATTTCAGAGGAGATGAAGAATCTATTATATGGGAGAGGTTATATTATTTGCTAGTCGTGTCTTCTAAAGACCCTCTACATTACTGGGTGTGGCAACCTGACTACTTAACATATTAAAGGAGACAATAAAGATTAGCTAGCAATTAATGTAAAGTGTGCAATTGTGCTCCAGCTCAAATTTGGCATTCTAAGCAACACATTAGTAATCAAATGTACAAATGCTGTTAACCTGCCCAGAAAGATCTGTATCATCAGTCACAAAAAAACTATCAGGAACAACCAGTAGGCAAGCAACCTGGCATGCAGCTGTTCTAGCACTTACTCATACATTCCTTTCATTAGTCATCAGCTTTACGCCCTTTCCATTGTACCTTGCAGATTGTCCTCACTTTACAAAGTGAACTTCAGGGCTAATGTTTTTTCACTCCCATAATTTCAGTAAACTTAAAAATTCATATTGGCATATGAAATCTGTTTTCAGAACAACAATTAGAATATAAAGATACAGATATTTACTATATTACCTTTTTCCCAGCAAAAGAAACTTCTACAAATGGATCTACCAGATTTTTCTTGTCTGCTTCTCCTCCAAAAATTTCCTTGACAGTCTGTGCAAAAGCATCATCCACTGGAGAGGTGCCAAAGATGAAATTAAGGTTTAGTATTTATTATTATTATTATTATTACCAGTACTACAATTATATATTCAGCCTAAACAATAAATTGTCCCACCAAAATCAACTAGCTTACAGCTCACAGATCTAGGGAGGGTAAAGTCTAACCTGATAAACAAAATTCTGAAGTGTTGCTGGTAAAACCAGAGAATTTAGGCTTATGAGCAATTTTAAGAATACAGATTTTTCAAACACCATAAGAAGTGCTGATGTGCTCCTGAATTTAAAGGCATCATTGTACCTGGAAAACATTATGCACGTATCTGTAGAAACTGCCATTTGTTGTCCCAGATGTAGGTGAGAAAACATGCTAGTAATGGATAAAACCCCACCTATATTCTATCAGAAAACATATATGGCATATAATAGCCTTTGTCTCAGCAATATAGGCTTAGCAAGAGTAAAATCTCACTAAGAAAATTAAGGTCAAACTGCTTTGAGCTACCCTGCCCTCCAGGGCTGTTTATTTAAGCTTATGGTGCTCAGCTTAGAGTGCACAACTGCCTGCAGCTTTCTGAGAAACCAGCAGTTCCCAGTTACTTATCTCCCACGGCCACTCAGATGCTGGTAGTACAGACTGCCCTGTTCATCCCAGCAGTGGCTGACTGACTGCAGCAGTCCAATGGCCTTTGCCCCATTGCAAAACAGCTGCAGCTGTGAGCTGAATGAAGAATTAATGGATTCCTGGGAAGAGGAAGGTGCAGGGGGCCATCATCGGTACTGCTGTCTACTAGGATCTAAATGACATTGGGAAAGAGGGCTGCAGGGAACCAGCTGCCTAACAACCTCTCAAAAGTAGGCAGGGATTGGGATCCAACAGGAAGTTAGCACATGCATTGTATACTTGAGTTAGACATGCACAGATCCTCCAGCTTATCTGCAGATCAGCTCCAGTTACTCACATGGAACTTCTGCAATTGGAAAAAGCTAGTGAAGATGACTCTTTCCAACTGCCACTCAGGAAGAGACAAGCATAACTAATCGAATGGGTAACACATTAAATTACCCATTACAAGAATTAAGTAGACTTAATTAGCATTAACAAAGGACTGGATCCATCACAGAATTACTGGCTCAAGTAACAATGTAAAACACTCAAGATGTTTTATGTTCAAAGTTTCTCAACAGCTAACACAAATATTTCCAATGGTAATCAGATACACAAGCAGGGAGAAGCTACACACTTTGAGGAATGTCCTCAGCTCTGTAGATCTTGAGAAGGAAAGTGACCCATCGAAGTGCAATTCCAGCAGGTAATAGCAGATTGCTCTCCACATCATCACTCTCATTATCTCTCTCCCTTTTTTCAACCTGTTAGGAGATACAGAGGTGCACAAGACAGACAGAGTAATGTGCAGCATTTAGGTGCTTAGTTAATCTGGTGCCCACAACACTTCATATAGAAGACTGTTGCCAGTTTCATCGGGAAGAATGAGATTGTATCAAATTATCAAGTCACGAAAAAATTAGTTCTACCTAAACTATTTTATTTATGCTTTTATCTCTGAAGTACTCAGTTGCAGGAGCACATTATAATCACACTTTTTAAATCATCATCATCAGATGGCAAGAATGATTTTGGCACGTGTACAATGACAACTTCATGCAAATTTCATAAGGCATCTTGCTGCAATGAGCAAAGACATATAACACTGATATAACTTAACAGAACTTACTGCTTCCTCATTTAAAAATAAACACACCACAAATAACTAGATATATATTTGTGATTTCAAGAATCATGAGGGTAGCAGAGAGAAAAGAGTTAACATGGAACTAGCAGGAGATCTTCCATGCTTCTGGGGACCTTATTATATTTAAATAAGAAGCAGGCAAAAATCTCAGCCAGGAAGAATGACAGAAAATAAACTATAGACAATGGATAAGTGAGAATAACATTACAAGAAAAAAGGCTCTGTTTTTACCTTGACATAATAGCAGTTAGTTAAGGACTGGATTGTTAAAACTACTTACTGCTTTCATATGCATCAAATTACTTGTGCCTGACTTGCCACTCTTGATGGGTATGATTTTCATCTGACAAAGGTTTGGAGCTTTCTAGTACTTATGTTTCTCTATGAGCTTGTCTACATTATGCAGTAGTGGAGACATTCCTGACTTATTCCTGGAACTGGTATCAACATGTTACTCAGCCTGATTATCTACACTAAGGACATATTAGGTTGCATGCAACACCAGGCTAACACACTTCTTCTTCCAGGATATGAAGAATTATCTATAAATGGTAGAACAACACACTCAGAGCTGGTCCAGATGTTGCTTGATTGGGCAGGATAACAAAACAAGCTTTGAGTTAGCCACTTAGTACTGTATGCCCTTGAAACCACTTGTAAACCTCAAACTTTTAAATAAGAGCAAATTATACACTATTAAAAAATGTTGGGGACATAAATAAATACCCATGGGGTGGAAAGGGGAAGAGAAACATTTAAACGAAACTTACTGGTGGCTCATCTCCAGTCCCCAGGACAAACATGCTGACTTTCATATAGCCTTTGGGTCCTGAATTTGTGTCTTCAGGATCACTCAGCAAAAGCCATTTTCTCATGACTGCATGGCCTAAAAGAGAACAAACATCACTGCCCACCCATAGGAATATCCATTACAAAATGGCAGACATCACATAAACAGTCAACTATTCCAAAAGTATGCTTTATCCTAAATTATCCTAATTATTCTAACAATTTATTCGGTCCTAGGCATGTCTCAATAGTGCCATTCAAAACAAGAAATATAATGCTAAAATGCTGTGCCATACCAATTCAGGGACATAATTATCAAATATTTTTGCACTACTTTTCCAATTTTAGGTCTTTGAGACCAAAACTAATATCCAAACTTTAGGGGCTTGTACTTCACTCTGAAGTCACTGAAAGAGTTATATATTGTTGGATTTTGTTATAATTAAGATTTAGAGCTGCAATCTTAAATAACCTTCTATAAACTTTATTCTTTTACTTATAAATATAATTAAATGTTTTGACTTCTAATTTCAAGATAGGAAAAACGATCAGAAGTAACTGTTACTTACCAGGCTCATCATAAACATAGCCAATGTCAATCTGAAATAAAGACCAAAGGCATTAACCTCTCTAGAAATGGCAAAACAGAAAAATGCTTGGGCAACTCTCCCCACATTTTTCATGAGTGCTACTACATTGTTATCTAGTCACAAACAAAAGACAGTTTACACAGCATATTACTGGGAGGAGAAAGAGAAAACTCCTTACATTGAAAAATGAGGGATTTTGAATGGGTACAACAGCCAAGAAGAAAATGCAAGACAAGGAGTATTAGAATTAATATCTGTAGTTACTTTCTTCTTTCCTTGGATTCCCAACTGTTTTATTGACCAGAGACAGGAGATGGGGCTAGCTTACTGCTTCTTTAATTCCCTATGTTCACTCATTATTTTATGTTCAGACAGGCTTTTCAGAACATTTTAATTTCTATTTCCTGCTCAATGGCTCATCCTTCCACTCCAGAAATTAAGCTTTTTTTTTAATAAATAATTCCTTTTATTTATTAAGAATATGGGCAATTTTTCCCCCCACTGTGTCAAATCTGGACAAGATTACACACATGCCACTACTGTGTTCATTGCACTAGATTCCAAACATGTTCAGGAAGGTAAGTCTGTTTGCTCATGGCAATTGGAACTAGTATTTCTTGCAGGTGAAGTCTGCAAGGGTGATTTTCTAGGCAGAATTACCCTTGTGGTTTCCTCATGGAATGTGTGCCTGCAGGAACAGAAAGCAGGTGAATGACATGCTGTCACCTGCTTAGTCCTCCAGCAACACAGCACTGAGTGAATCACTAGAAATCACAGAGACAATTAGCAGTGAGAGGCAAAAAGCAGTTGGCATGGTGACAGAAACACACTTGCCTATGTTTTACAAAGCTGGTCTAGAGACCCTCTGGATTTATGCAGTACCAAATAAACAAACAGAAAATACAGCCAACACTGATACTGGAAATGTTATAATAGGGGAACCCAATAGTCATTACAATTGCCATGAGAATTTCTTGTCTGTATTGCTTTAAGAGTCCCTTCACCAGGCAGGTGTATTGACCATACCAAATCCAAATAAAGACAACCTCGCTTATATCATGAGAAACACAGAAATTCATTTAACTAAGAGACTCTTCCACCATCTCTATTACTTCTGACCAAAGATCATCATCATTTGAGAATGTCTATCTTTATGCCACTGCACCTATTACTCTTCTGCCTATTAGATACCTAATAAAATTATCTCTTCAAACCCTACCTCATACCAAATAATAATCTCACCTCCTGAGGGAAAAAAGACAACGTTTTGGTAAATTTTGTTCTCTTGCATGCAAATAAGAGAATTTGGTATATAAACCACACAAATTTCTTTTACAATAATCTTCTACTCAACTAAGAAAACTGTTTACTAGTGCTTTAAGCAATTGTACTCTAGCAAGATATCAGCAGGTAATTCTTTACCTCACACAAAGAAGTATAAATGTAAACATTCAAAACTAGTACTTAAAAATGTCTCCCATTTTATTTAATTTGGTCAAGATATGGAGGTTACTTCATACCCACCTTAAATTCACCCATTAGACAGTCTGCTCGGAGTGAGTAAGAATCATACACCTAGAAAGACAGAGAAACATGAAACAGGAATGCTCCTAAACATCATGCTGAGATGGCCAGACAATCCATGTGCATCCAGCAGCATCCTGAACATGTGCCATTCTTCCTTACCCGAATGCTAATGGTTTCGTCAAGCAGCTCTAAAGGAGTCATGTGGACATTGTAGAAAAATATCTGTTAAGGTAGAAACAAAGAGAAAACCTGTCTCAAAATGACAAACACAATTCTCTGAATACAGAATGCAAAAATATTATTTTAAGAGGCATATGAAGCATGCCTGATGCAGTACTGTCTCTTTGCTGGACATGCTATATGACAGTTTAGTGCAGAATAAAAACCTAAATTTAGTAAATAGACGCAGCACAAAACAGACAAGACAGTCACAACTTCCATTTGAATGAATGCAGTAAGCATAACTGTGCCACAAACTTTCAGCACTGTCCTTGCTCTCTGCTCTGCACTTCACATTTTACTCAGGGGAACAACTCTGGGAAATATAAAGGTTGTTCATTTTCCAGGACATTAAATCCTGGTCTAGCCATCTCTGTGGCAGCTGTCAAAAAGGTCTTGTTTAGAGCTAGTGGTGATAGTGATTACAGTGATTTTCATTTTTGAAACTCAAGGGCATAGGAATAAATCCATAGATTGGCAGCATGAGGATAAATGTACTCTTTATTAGTTTAGTTGTTTCCATAATAGTATATGCCTCACTAAGTTGGGTCTTTGATCTCAGCTATATGCCAGTGAGTGTTTTATCCAACAAAATAGAAGGGTATATGAACATGGTCCCTCCTATTCCATTTTTATACTATTCTGACTGCCTGGGAATTGTTTCAATATAACATGTACATGACTTTCTCCCCTCCCTGTTTTTTCCATGGCTTCATAAACCTTGACTGCTACCTACAGCTTAGTTCAAGCTTCAGTGTTAGAACTTCCTTGGTTTTGTCTGCATGTGTTAAACATGCTTGACATGAAGTTCCAAAATCTTCTGAATTTTCCACACACATCCAGATAATAAGAGTTATCCTCAGCATTCTCTCTCTTAAGCTGAAGTTTTGGGAACTGGGAATAGCAAAATGCATATCAGCCATAAATAACACTTAGATACTAGCAAATTCTTATTCATTGATCACAATGAAAGCTGTATTAACTCTTTGTCTACATTTGATAGCACCAACATTTCAGCTGGTGTTATACCACTCACTTCATCAAAATAAGGGTTATTTCCCCTTTTGATTCTTGTCCGGTGTGTCTGACCACAAACATGAACTTTGACTACAGGTTTTATGTTATTTCCAGGCAACTGACGACCCTCAATGACTCTAACGCGAATCTGAAAAAAAATAAAATCAAATATTTGTGTTAATTCATTCTCTATAATATCAATAATCCTGGTGACAACAATCTCTTATTATGCCACCCAAAAAATTAGCCAACAGCTCATCTGCAAGTAGGTAGCAGATATGGACCAGACAGACTTTACAAACTTAATTATGACAGCAAGTATAATTTTACTTGAATTTTACAGGCCTAGTTAGGGTTAATTACTTCGGTAGGTTTTTTAACTTGCTTTTACTATTTATTTTAAAAGCTGCTGTTGTAGTTTGAAATCTATACAACTATACAATAAATACGGTTCATCCAGATTTCATCCAGAACTGCATGTGCCTGCAATGACAGGACTAGAGTGAATGGTCATAAGGTGAGACAAGGAAGATTCAGATTAGATGTTAGGAATAATGTTTTCCCTGTGAGGGTGTTCAGGCACTGGAATATTTCCCAGGGAGGTGGTGGAGTCACCGTCCCTGCAAGTGTTTAAAAGTCGTCTGGATCTGGTGCTGGAGGTTTAGGGTTTAGGGTTTACAGCAGTGACAAGTTAACGGTTGGACTTGATGATCTCAGAGGTCTCCTCCAGCCTTGATGATTCTATGATAATCAGACATCTTGGTACCAGGCACATTTGAAGAACACTTTTGAAATACTGGCTTTCAAATGAGGAAGCTAATTGTCTCTACAATGCATTAGATTTACACAAGCTGACATTAAATTATACTCAGGCTGTGTGACTGGATCAGTGTAATGCTTGGCAGAAAAAGGGAATATGCAATATATTTAATACATCTGTTACCTGAAAATCTTGTGGTTTGTTAGAAAGGATTCTCCGTGTTTTCTTTCCTTTGGCAATGCGTTTAGCTAGCTGGGCTTCCTTCGTGCCACCTGGAACTGTTGGTGTGATACCACCAACTGGACTATCCAATCCATCCTCATAACCTCCATCCTCTTCTCCATCTCATACAGAAAAAAACCCAGTGCAATTAATAAACAAACAGCAGAGCCTGATGTTAAAGTTACAGGAGTAAGAGTCTGATATCCAAGAGTTCCACTAAAATTGTATTATTATCTCACTTCAACAATTTTTCTGACAACTACATGCTTCCAACTCCTTTTGAGAGCTAGTCATTTTGGCCTGCTTAAGAACAAATTCATATCCTGACCAAACTAACTGCAGATCTGTCTCTCGTCAGGCTGCAGTGTCTAATACAACTCCCATACACTTTTTTGAATCAGCTGACTGAAGCCTTAGCAAAGTACAGTTCAGCTGTAATCAAGACCAGACTAGTTCACAACACACCACAAGGGATTAATTTTATTCCAGTTGAAGCCGTTTCCCATCAGCAAGACTAGGTTATATATAGCACAGCATTGGGGTTTGGTTCAGAATCTTGAATACATGAAGGCATTTAGGGTCTGCCATCCAAAACAGAACTCTGAATCCTCCTCCACATTTAACTGTGGAATAACTTTCTTTGCAAGCCTCTTTGACAGTTCTGAAATCAGCACACCTCTGTGGAAGACTGTTGTACAACCACATGACACTACAACACTGAATCATACAGAGAGATTCCAGTATTGCAAAACAGGATCCACAAATATCTAGACCACAAAAGTGTGTCACTCCCTTGTGTTTCCAACTTGTTTTCCTAACTGAAGGACAGTGACTACAGTAACATCTAGAGGAAGAATGAGAAGTCTCTGATGGTTAGCATTAACAGAATGTATACTAACTTTATGAATTACTATCAACACAAGGTGATGATCACTTTGCATAACAAAGTACTCAGTGATCCTTTAAAGAGATGTGTAAAGCCAGACAGACTGACACACCATGTATTTTACGACCAGAAGGGCCCACCTACCTTCCTAACTTCTCTCAAAATCCATTTGCCTGGATGGATCCAAGCAACTGACTGATTATATATACCCTCTATGATTCTGGGATTCTATGATTCTGACACAGCAGTTAATTTTCATTTCTAAAATCTCAGCTGGGAAAGTGATTTCATTTCATGGGAAATAGGTATTTATAATAATTAACTAGGCTGTGTTTGATAATTCACATTGAAATGAATTTCATGCTGCTGCTGGATACCAGCTAAAGAACTGCCATTTTTTATTTTATCTGTACCTTATATTTCAAGTACGTTTAAAAAAACAACCAAAATAAGCTTACATAAGTCAATTTGAACTTTTAGCCTTCAAATGCACGTTTCTATAACGTTATTTCAAAGTGTAGTAATTTAGCATACAGCTTTTGTGTTTGCATTACTTATCTCTCCACTCCCAAAGAACACCTCTTGGTGAAGTCAGTGGAATCAAAACTTCTCTCCAGAAGACTCTTGATTTCAATTTTTTACTTCTTATATTATTATCCATCAGCAGATAATGGTCAAACTGATTTTCTTCTCCTCAAACACGTAATATTTATTCCATTTACTTTTTTATGCACAAGCACAGTCTTGATATTAGGCTAATTATTTGCCTGTCAACTGCAAAACCCTGTTGTTACTTCACAGTTCTTTTAAGAGTCTGGAAAACCAGAAGATGCCAAAAACACTCTCAGCAAAAGTCTGGTTAATATGATATACAGAGAGACCAAAGAGTATTTCCTACTGATAACATTATTTCATTGGCTAGTCAAGTATCAAGCCTAATACAAGATACAACAGTGTCTTCCAAAACAATTCTACAGAGGAAAAAGAGTTTAATGATTTAAGAAAATCTTTTCACAAAGCTCTCTGATATTGAAAGTAATAAATGTGACTTCCCTGGTTTTGGGTCAGCACTAGCATTACAGCAGATAATTGCTGTTTCCAGAAACCTTTCTTTCCTAAACAAAAGCCATTTGGAAAAGCTTTTAAGCAATATCATTCTTTTGTAGCCTGATTCCACTGGAGAAAATGATGCTAAAATCCATTTTATGTCAGGACATGCCAATTTTATTCTTAGCTGTAGTTCTGAACCATCCTTAATTTCTTTAAAATCACTATCTGACAGTCTTAACACACTTGCTTCTGGTGAACACTGTTTCTGATGAACAATGCTGTTGAATCACTTTCTTGCCTGATCTTAAATAGCTCCATGAGCTTTTAGCAATAATTTTCTGAGAGGAGATTGAAATACCTTCTTGTGTATTGGTCCCTCCTGGATCATTTGGACTTGCAGGTCCAGCTGGTGGCTCATATCCTACTACCAAATCAATTGTTGCCTGTAGAGAAACACCCAGTTTTTTATGTAGCACACAGCATTCACAGCAGTCAACTTAAAGCAGTAAGTTCTTCTAACACTGCATATTAACAGTTAATTATTCATAGTCACAGTACAGTTTTATAAAGTTTCAGCTACTAGTAAATGAATAAACTATTATTAAGCTATTTATACATACAAACAGTAAAGATAACACAATTTGCAGCTCATGGAATAGGCTCTAAAATAATATCTAACAAATGAAATCAGTGTGTTTATGTGTAGAAAAACTCTGTAACAATACAAGCATATAAGATGCTCTACATATGTAAATTCATTTAGTTCCACAATATTCCTGGCAGACAAGGGAATGCCCTAAATTTGCAGATGGAAGAACAAAGGCAGAAATAACACTATCTGATCAACTATTTAGCAAGTCTGAACCAAAAGTAGAGTTTCCCATCTGGCTCTTGTAATTGCTTGTTCATACCTCCATCCTGGAAGAAATACACTATGTCATTTTCCATTCTAATTATAGAATTGCCTTTTTTGTGCTTGACTGCAGTTTTGGGTGATTGAACAAACCATTATTATTCCTAGTTGCCAGAGTAACATGAGGAGTCAGCAAGAAAAGCTCAACCCTGTGACCAACTAATCATGATATGAAACTGCAGCTGATGGGATATTGAAAATACCTTTAGAGTTTCTTATTATTTAAGCGTACTAGAATGCAATGTGAAGTGCCTTAACAACTGAACTGCACAAACACAGTTAAGGTCCCTGGCTCTAGAAACTACTTAATTAATAACTAAGTAAATAACCAGTTAAATTTAAACGTGCTAAACCAAGTTAAGCAAGTTTTTGTGTAACCTTCTGAACTGAGATGGCAGTGAACATGTACATGATTATGTGCTTTCCAGAATTAGTGCTGTGACACAGGTGGCTATTAGAAAGAATGCAGAAAAAAAATGCTTATGGGAACTGCACCAGTACTCGGAATCAGGCTGATTTCCATGCATACTCTGTGACCCATAATATTTATAGTACATATATACAAATACCTAACACACACAGAGAAAACAATTTTATCACTTAAAGCATATTAAACAAACTCAGATGGTACAGACATAACTATACCTTGGTATAAATTTCCTCTATCTTGAGATTTTGCTACAAATTTCCAAGCATTAAATTGATACAAATAACTTGAATAAAAAGCAAAAATAACTTGAAAATATTTTTATTTCACTACTAGCCCTGTTGCTAGAGGATTTTTTTCAAGGATACAGTAAAGGAAATGTAAGCCACTCACTCCAGTTTCTTGTCCCCTTTCATTTAGCAGAGGTATGAGTTTGAATGGAAAAGATCTGCTTTGGTTACCTACAAGATCCTTCAGGGCTACGGATGCACTGCCAATTAACCTGAAACGAAATAAAAATCATTATTAGAATGCATATATACATCAAAAAGAGTTTCCCCTTTTATTTTTGCTAGTGTCTGATAGTCAACAAAGTAACTCCAGCCACAACTTGAAAATTCAAGGCACAACAAAAGATCATGCAACGATTGTGTACTGCTAATTTGTAGTCTCTGTTTCATTTCACCTAAATGTGCCGGTGTTCTTTATGGAAAATATAAGCTTTAACCCAAAAGAGGTCAAAAACCTCTTTCAAAAAAATTGAAATTAATAGTCTGTGTATTTTTGAAAATAATCTTTTGTATAACTTTCAACAGACATGTCACTTGTTTCACTTATAAAGGACAGAGTACTTTCTTTCCTTATGCAGCTCTGCAAGCTCTCAGATGAGTATGGATAAAAGCTGCTGTACTACACAGAGACACAAACCCATACACATACACATCTCTGTAACAAAAACAATGAAACTCAACAAATGCAATCAATGTGCTTATTGAAGAATTCACAAAACTAATCTTCTTGCCCATGCTCTACATTTTGGAATCGGTTCATCTTGCTTCTAAATCCTCAGAATGTTTCAATATGGTTCTAGAGAGGCAAAGGAAGCTGCTCAAGGGATCTGACGTGGTAGACTCTCCTGAGCTACTTCTGCCTACTTTGGGACTGCATCTGTCACCTCCATCCTCTCTCAGAAAGCTGAAAACTGCATGTACTTTTAACCTGAGAAACTTCTCTTAGGCAGAGTTTCTCACAGTGTGGCACTGCTCTCATGATACCTGGCACTGTATTTCATTCCATAGTATGTAGTAACAGTTTCCTCCTATACTGAAGTGGATGATTGGTGTAATTGAGATTTTTGTCAATGAAAAGACCACAAGATAATTTCACCCTGTAAATATTACACATACAAACAAAATACCAGCTTTGCTGCCAAAGTAGAAAAAGATCTGTACACTGAGAACCCAACTGTAGTCCCTTGAGATCTAGAGATTACAGTGCTTTTTCATGGAGCATAGGATGGAAGGGTATTTTTAGACATGGAGCAAGAGCATTACTATAGCCTCTCTCAAGTGCTATGTCATGAGAATATAATGCTTTGCAAAGTACACCAGGATATGTAAGTGTAAAATTATAATTTCCTGCAAATATACATTCCAGGTGTTACACAGGACAACTTCTGCTTAGCTGTGTATGAAAGATAACTACACTTGCTGTCTGAATGTCCTGTTAGAATTACTTTAGCATTGTCATCTCCTCAGTCAACTTTGCTTTCCCAGTTCATCTCACTTCTCCAAACCCAATTGTCATTCTGATAGTTTTGACTCACTATTCAAACCTTTCACTTCCACTCCCCAAACTGCCAGAGCACAGTAACATTCCAGCTATGCCTCACAGTCATCACACACAGAAGACGGTCTAGATGTGAAAAGCAGCTTTAAGATAAGGCCGTGCTGCATAAGAAATGCATGAAGCTGTTCTAATCCTTAAGATGACCATAACTGATGCCACATCTAACACCTGTCTCTCCTCCCTTTACTAAGTGGATGCCTGGATTGAGTATTATACTCTTGATCCAGTGTCCTTAAAAAAACTACAGAAATACACCTAGTTATTTCAGTGAGCAGTAGATTAACCATAGGTCCATTTTCACTTCTTATGAACTGTTGGACAGAGCTGGATATTAGCTGAAACACTGTCTCCATGCATTTCTCAACTTTTGGGAGCTTAGGAAGTAATTTCTCCTGCTATGGATCTAAGGTTGCATTCAATCCACAAGGCAAACCTAGATTTGGAACATCAACTATACATGCAGTGGTGCATGTAATGCCTGCCTAGCTCATGAAATAACAGCAAACAGAAAGAGGTGGTATTTTCTTCCCTGACACTTCAACATTCCAAATATGGGTGTTACATAGAAGTCAAGTAAATCTGACATTACACACCAAAGAGAACATCTCCTTCCATATATGACCAAACTTTTCTATGTTAAGAGCAAGTATCATGCAGACAAACATTGATACTATTCAACAGTCAAAGAAAAGCAGAAAAGGTTCATTCTATAATGATTGAAAATCCCAACGCACTTAAGAGAGAAACATACTGGGTAGCTCAATGCATTTTCCACTTTATTACATATCCTTCTAACAAGTTAATAGCTTTGAAAGCCATTATAATATAAGCAAATGGGAAACTATTCATGCAGTTGCAAGGAACAAATGCTTGAATTACCTTTACACAGCCAGATACTGAAAGGAACCAATTTCTGTTCAGTCTTTTTCCTTCAATGCAAAACTAATCAATATCAATTCCAAATATTCCTATTTTCCTTCAACCATGACTTCTCATGCCTTTCCATTTGAGAATAACAAATAGAAGTTTACATATTTTAGGCATCATAGAAGGGAAAAACCCAACAAGACTATCCAAAAGCAGCTAGGCCAAATCTGATTCTAGAGAAAGACAAAGAAAATATCATAGAATCATAGAATCATCAAGGCTGGAAGAGACCTCTAAAATCACCAAGTCTGACCATTAACCTGTCACTGCTGTAATCCCTAAACCCTAAACCATATCCTCCAGTGCCAGATCCAGATGCCTCTTAAACACTTCTAGGTCTGGTGACTCCACCACCTCCCTGAGCAATATTCCAGTGCCTGAACACCCTAACAGGGAAAAAGAGTTTCTAACATCCAGTCTGAATCTTCCTGCCTCAGTTTATGATCATTCCCTCTAGTCCTCTCCCTGCAGCCATGGCAGGAGAGACCATCCCCTACCTCTCTACAACTCCCTTTCAGGCAGTTGTAGAGAGCCATGAGGTCACCCCTGAGCTGCCTCTTCTCAAACCCAACTCTCTCATCCCTTCCTCATAGGACATGTGTTCTAGACTTTTTCTGAGTCTCACTGCACTTCGCTGGATTCGCTCCAGTGCCTCAATGGCCTTTTTTCAAGTGAGGGGCCTGAAACTGAGCACAGTACTCAAGTTATAACTTTATCAATGCTGAGTCCAGGGGGATGATCACTGCCCTAGTCCTGCTGGCCACACTATTCTTGATACAGGCCAAGATGCCATTTGCCTTCTTGGCCACCAGTGCACACTGTTGACTCATACTGAGCCTCTGTCAACCAGCACTTCCAAGTCCCTTTGTGACCAACAACTCTCAAGTCACTTCTCCCCAGCCTGGAGCTTCATGGGGTTGTTGTGCTCCAACTGCAGGACCAGCACTGAGCCCTATTGACCCTCATGCAGTTGTCCTCAGACATTGATCAAGTCAGCCCAGGTCTCTCTGTAGAGGTTTCCTACCCTCAGGCAGAACAATATTATCCTATGCACAGTCATAGAAAAATTAAGTAGACTTGACATTTTGATTTGATATTAGCTGGAGTGACTTACATTAACTTCAAAAACATCAATTCAGAAGCCACTCAAAGTCATCTCAAATCAGCAGGATGACTGTTTCAGCAGCCACACCCTCCTATCTGGTGACATTAACTCAAGAATAGCTGTTTAACAGTAGTGCTTTTGACATTTTCCACTGTAAATTTCCATTTCTACATCCTTATCTGTCCTATGCAAATGATAACTGCACACATTTGAATGCACAGTAACCACTTTTAAAACACTGATCACCTACAGAAGACTGAAGAGGGAATCAGTTACATAGAATACTTACTTGCAACCAGTTGCCTCTAAAGTCCTTTGTTTCCCCTCTTCTTTAGGAGGTTGGGCAACAATAGTCTCCAGTCTCTTTTCACTCGAGCCTACACACCATCTTAGTCTACTTCTATGCTTTAGCCCAATTCTTTGGGCAGTATTCTGCCTTCCCTGAAGTTGCCCTGTTCACTGGATTTGGGATGCTTCACCCCTCCCTTAGCAGAGCTATAGAACTGATGAGTTTGGAAGGGACCACTCAAGATCATCTAGTCCAATGCCTCTGCTTCACCAGAGTCAGCTAGATCAGCACCATGTTCAGTCTGTTTTTGATCATACACCTACTCAATGACTGAAGCGATGTTTTCAAAAGTAACAAGGAATGCCTCAAAGTCATTGTTAGGTCTCATCTTTGTCACTTGTACATGTCTTGGAGAAAGCCTTTATTCTGACATGCTTCTCTCAGGTCTCTAATCTTTGGGCTAAGTCAGCTAGGATGAAGTCAGCTAAGTCAGATCACAGTAGTTGTGACACCATGTCCATCACCAGTTCATTGATGTTTAATCCTTCACTGCAAGGTCTGCTATAGTTCCTTCTGATATGCAGTGAAACCACTGATTCTCTACATGACTACTATGAAGTTGCTGTGTTCCTCTGAACTCTGAACCTTCAGGCACGATTGCATGTGATCTCCATCTGAAGTCATGACTCTCAAGGTGACAAAGAGTCCTTTCCTTCCAGCAGGGCTGAAAAGACTTTGTGCCACCTGTTCATCCTTGAAGGCCACTTCTCTTTGCTGGACCTATTTCAGTTTTCCTCCTCTTGTCTAGACAGACCAACATTTGCCTGTTTAATTCCAGATCACACTAGTCTCATGACACCATCAAGAGGGATAGCTTCTGCTAATGGAATAGCTTAATACATCCTCTGACCTTTTGTTCACCAGCTCTTTCAGTAGTAGACAGCAAATGAGTTTTGCTTCTTAATTCTGTCCGAGTACCTTTCAGGCCAATACTAAGACTTGTATATGTATAGTCCAGCCTCTTAAAGTTTTCCAGCCTTGCAGAACTAAAGCAAAAACCCCTTCCTGCCACAAGTAGTTTAAATGTTCTGGTCTACCACTGAGTAAGACACCAAAGAAAAATGCAAAGCTCCCAATCAGAAGCTGATTTGACACCTTACCAGCACTAGGCCTATGATACTTTTTCCCCAGCAATCAAAGGGAAATACTTGGTTTCTCAGCCTGAAATCAACGAACTACTGATGACCAGCTGCTAAACACTGAGTTGCATTTGTGCCAAAGCTAATTAATCCACACTGCAGTTAGCACTTCCTGTTAGCTGCCTAAACAACAAAGAGAAGTGAAACTTCACACCCATTTCTGGATCAGGAAATGCTAACTCACAGTACCAACCATTCTAGTACTCCTCTTGGTTTGAAGGTAGCAATTTATACTAAATTCTTTAGCATACCATGTCCTCCAGCTGCTTACATGCTACTTCTACTGCAAGCCCAGAGGTTTCAATCACCTGAGAGTCAAGCATTCAAATTCTTTTCACCTATTTTTAAGGGTTTATTTTGGAAGAGGTTTATATTTATTATGCCCAGAGGCAAACTGGATTCCTTGCTGAAGTTATAATGGCTGTACTCAACCTTTCTTACTCAGTGTGTGTATGTTTCATTATAGAGTCTATGCTACAAGACCCAACACCCACCTGCTGTCATTTGTGCCACGTTTAACAGTATTTATTAAGAAAAAAACTATTTTTATCTTTAGTTATATGATAATACTCTTTGCATGAACAAACTTTAAAAAAAGAAACAAAACAGTGTTTTGTACAAGGAAGAAAAGCCCAAAACTGAATTTTAAAGTGTTAGGATCTTGCATAGAGCAGATGCAAGGAAAGCCTCCAACTATGTACAGTCACACTGACATGGAAAAGAATCCACACAAAAGGCCAGAGCTGTAGGAGGATTCAAACAATCTAGAAATTATTTAACTACAAAAAAATACTTAATCATGATTAAATAATTTGCTGAATTGTTCATTTGTGGCTGCATTTTTCTGCCAGAGAAAAGGGTGTGCCCAATCTGTTTTTCCTCTGTGTCGCTAGGTTACTAACTACGCAAAGGACGTGGGGAAACACATAATCTCAACTCTTTCAAATAGAATGAAAATCCTTTCATACAGAGACAACTGTAACTTCCTGTTAATGCTTTTCCCCCCTAACTTCACGGGGACAACTGAAGTTATTAGGTTGTTTTTTTTCAACTGCATACAGATTTGTGTTCTGAGAATTTGAAATCTTTCTACTAACAGTATTAGACATAATAGAAAACAGACGTGTTCTCTTTTCAAACATCTTTATGCTGGAAAATCTAGCTAAGCATGGATCATGTGAGTCCTCTGGTTTACTCCTGTCTGCAAAGAGTTGTGGTTTGCTTTATTTATCTTTCCCAATGACTGCATCTTTTTACCATGAAGAGCACTCATTTAATCTATGTGCAAGAGTTTAGTGATCCTGTAAAGGAAGCAGCAATTTCTGACTCCAGGAAAAAAGAAATGGAAAAATATTCAAATGTTCTCTGCGGGTTAATTTACAGAAACATGCCAAAGCAATGAGTTCAGTGCTTTGGCACAGTGTAAGAGCAGATTAACATCCACTTCACTCCTCCTCCTGCGTCAGTTTAAGAACAGACTGCACGAACAGCTATATCAGTTTCTAGGAGCTGGAACAAATCCTGTATAACACTGCAATCTTCTGTGTTGTTCCAGAGGGCAGTCTGAGTTTTGTAGTCACCTCTTGGGCACAAGAAGACCAGGCATCTGGAACTAGACTGGACTAACAGTGCATGGAATAGCAGAGTGTGTGTTGGCCAGGAGCTGTGTGAGTGAGCAGCCAGAGGGAGGTTGGGTTGAGAAACTTATTGCTCTGGTCCCAGCCTATACTGCAGCAAAGACAGTGGTAGAACATTTGAGCAAAAGTTGTCTCTACCTTCAAAATAGCAACAGCAATCTTCACTGATTATTTTCCTCCAGAAGAAAGAAAATAAAGCCAAAGACATGGTGTAGTTTCTTCTCATTGCTCGTTCTCAGGTGACAGAGTCCTTGAGACATACTCTTTACACTCAAAAACTAAATCCCAATTCAATCTAGACTTTAAAATGTATAAAACATAAACTTCTAAAGGAAAGATTATTGATTTTGACTCAAATCCCAGTTAGCTTAAACACCTGATACACCTCCCAAGTTATTTGGTCTACTTGTGAATGTCAAAAGCATGCAGCAAAGAGTGGGTTGCTGAAATAATGGTTTTTTTACCTCTGAAAGACTTGTTAACCACATGAATTTTATATGTAAAAATGAATGCAATATTGTCCAGCCCTCACTCCTCCACCCCCTTTTTGAAACTGTCATTGGAATAGCTTTCAGTAGTAAGGACCTTAGGTAAGCATTATACTCCACCTTCCCAATCCTGAACTAGGCATGCCGACAAACCCAGGGAGTGTCAGTGGCACACTGAGCACCTTTAAGAAATGCTGCAGCACTGTAGGCATGTGTGTGTAGTATAAAACTACAGACTTTTTCTGAAGTATTAAAAGAGGATGCTGAGGAATAAAATGGCAAATTTATATGGTAGTCCTAAATTTCTCTCCAACTCAGTAAATAGAATGCAGAACTACAGAAATACAGGTTATGAGTACAAGCGCTAGGTGGGAAACTTATTCCACACTCCTCCATTTCATGTATTCTTTTGCCTAAATGTGAAGATTCATTAATATAAAATCTTTTCTGCTGTCACAGTGCTTTGTGTCTTTAAAAGAAATCCAGGATGCTATTTCCTATTATCCCATTACAATCAGGATACCTGCACGTGTGTTTCTCACCTCTCACCCCCTTATCCTGTTTCCCTGCCAACAGCCTCTCACACACATTTACACCCTGAAAATCTGGATCTGTGTTCAGAGAGCATTACTTTGAAGGTGTTACTCTGGCCTTGGTATGGACTATTACATTTTTTGCACAGCTCCGTACATGGAAGTCACTTTTCCAAAGAATTTTACTGGTTTACTTTTTAAATTGTAGACAGAATAAGTATGTGGTGGACAACTTCCAGGGCATAAACCCAAGCAAAACAAACAGGCATTTGCACAAACTGGGCCTTAAGTGATACAAATATGAGTCTAGATGATACTTACAAATACATTTTGAAAAAAAACCCCAACCAAATTCCTGCTTAACTTTGAACCCATGTACAGAGCGAAACATTTTAGGTGCATCAGATAATCACCTTCCTTTATTTTCTGATACATTATAAATCCATTACAAATTTTTGATTACTGACAGGCTTTCTTATCTCAAGTTCTGGGATTTCCCTGAAGTCAGAGGCATGCAATATAGTCCTGCTTTACTGACCTGCAGGAATTTGAGGAATGAGAGACCTGAGGGGATTGGCTTGATTCACAGTGACTTTACAGGGGAGCTGTTGGACTATTGTAAAACCCTGAATTCACATACTGAGAGGAGGCAGGGAGTAGTAAAGAAAAGCTAACAATGGAAGTGAGCTACTATCAGCAAACATAAATGTATGCCTAACTCATACCAAATCTGCCAACAAAAAAGAAGGAAGATGACATGATATCATACTCCCTTTCAATATAGCAACAGCCAACAGTACTTGGCACTGACAGAAAAGAGAAAGAACAGAAAACAGTTTCATTTCCTTCCCCTACTTCTGTATTGGAAGGTGGGTTTAATACTGAGGAGAAGAAAGAAAGAACATACTTGTTTTGTCCAATTGTTTCAAAATCCTTCACAATAATTGTTAGGGAAGAGGAATTATCCAGGGCAATTCCTTTCAAGTCAAATTCCAGAATCTGGGTAAAACAAAATAGGCAAAATCAAATTATAATTACAAGTTAGGCATAATTTAATTAAAAAGAGAGTAGCATATACAACAAAAGTATTCAGAAATAAATTTTGCATTTAGTGGGAAACCAAACCAGCTTACATTGGCAAAAGGAGAGCTAAAAATACTCATAACACATACTGGATCTGCTAATTAGTACTAACAATAACAGAACTGAATTGTTTACTAGTAACCCATAATCTCTTTGGCAGTTTCAATTCCTTAACCTAACATACATATTCTCTTGTCATTTATAGTATCTGATGTTATTCCCCTTCAACACTGGCTGAAGTCAGTTGGTGCTGAATTTAGACAAATAGTTGTAGGTTCCCTTTCTTTGTGCTTTTAATTAAAAAATGTAAGAATAATCTTTAATTTATGGTCATGAAAAAACACTTACTAACATTTTCCTCAAGAAACATATTACTGAAGATGCAAAATATGACCAGTCCTACAGATAAACTGAGGAACTTCAATACATGATTAATTTTAAATCTTTAGGATTTTACCTAGTATGAAATAAATGATGCAATTATTTTCCCATATTTGTGGCTAAGCACTGGCTGAGTATCATGCAATCAAAAGTAAGTGGGAACAAATCCACGCCACAAACTCACTGGTTATACATCTAATTTTGCATAAAAACATTACTTAATGAATTGTAATATATGGCACAAGATTAATCCATTCACTTGCATTTACTCACACCTTGAAAGGACACATATGACAAGTTCCTCTATCTAACAATATATACAACTGTGGAAATTGAAAATTAAAAACAATCAAGAATTTCTTTTATAAAGAAATTACCTCATTCCAAACAGGATTGAGTTCACTGTCAATTTTCTTTGTTTTCTTTTTTTCATCTGCAAATACAAAGTGTGATTATTTGTTTTTTTCTAAAGTACTACACAAATAGAATAATTCCCCCTTTCACTTTCCAAAAGAAATTTTGAGCTTTACCAAATGTTGCAATGCTTTTTACCTCTTCCAGAAGTTGCACATTTTACAATCAAAAAGTCCCCTGGGCAATTTTAGCAGTTGAAGCTTTTTATTCTGTTTTGTTTAAGCATAGCTAGATGTTTTCCCAAAAAGAAAAAGTAATATTTGGCTTTCTCAACCTTTTATGACCCTTGACTGCAACTTCAGTAAGGAAATAAAAAGACTGACTAAAAGACTTGGAGACATCAAACCAAACAGTAACCCGTCAGTGACAGTATTTTAGAAAGTAGTAATGAAAATGTGTCACGTACTTACCATATCTAAGACACAAAATACTTATAAGTGTTTATCTCTGAAATAAAATCACATTAAAAAAAACAAACTTAAGAAGATATGCTTACAGAATCAGCACTTGCTGCTTTAAATGAGCAAACACTAGCAGAAATACACATGCATGTAAGAGGAAATGCAACCCTTCCTGAATAAGTGGTTCCTAGTGGTTATGCAGATCACTTCACTAACATTTACCTGGGCCTAAATATTACAAATTTCCCATACCTCGTGGTCAAATTTGCATTTGGGCAACCTAGGAATCATGGGAGTGAGGGCTGTAGTGTGGCATTTCGATTCAAATTCCTTCTCCCAAGCAGAATAGTATAACTCAAGTGTTGCAGAGGCCCTTTGCAGGATGCTTTTACCCACTGAAAAGGGAGATGGAATTCTGTTCTTACAACGGGTTCAAAGCAAGTACCATGAAACAGTTTTATTTTTACTTTTAATTTGCACTATATGCATGTAGCTCTGATGGAGAACAAGTCTTTGGATGCTCAGAAGCCCCAAAGAACACTGGCAAAGACACAGCTCTTAAAACAGAAATTTTATCTATTAGTGATAACAAATGAGCCTAAGTACAGTCAGAAAACCAACTGCTGACCTACAAAATGCTCAGCCACCGTGAGTAGACCGAGTTTCAGACACACTCCTTGTAAAGATAATAGCATTTTTCTTATGAGTACACTTGGCCAGGAAAAGATTGCAAAGGCCTGGGAAGCAAGAGTAGATATGCCACATGGGCAAGTTCATATGTGCACTATTCAGGCAGCAGAACGTGGTGGCTCCTTTTACTGCAAGAGAGTGGGATGTAATGAAAGTCAGCACATGCTGCAAATTGCAAGAACTGACTCACACTTATGTAACAGGAATTGTCTACAACTTATACAGGATATTGACTCACACTGGAGGACAAAGGAAAGAGCTTTCATAACATACCATGCTGTAGATTCACACTTTACGGAAAAAAAAAATCCAGTAAGTAACATGCTAATGAGAGAAATTCAACTTCATGTTATCCAACTGAAGACAAAGCAGGATTCACACTTTACAGAAAAAAAATCCAGTAAGTTACATGCTAATGAGAGAAATTCAAATTCATGTTATCCAACTGAAGACAAAGCATTTTCAAAACTGAGTATCCCAGAAAATCTGGGGTTTAGCACTGACTCCAAGTTCTCCTAGAAGCTGAGGGTCAGGGAAAAGATGTTTCCAGTGCTGGTGCAAAAAAAAGGAACAGTTGCAGCTGTTTGTAAAGGAAATAGTGACCCACAGAACTAATGGATAAAAGTCCTACAATCCCTGCCTAAGCTCAAGTGTAACTCTGTAAGGTAAAGAAATCCCTGGCTTGAACAACAGTCAAGACAATTCTTGAGGAGGAGCAACATTTTCCACTCTGGATCATCCATTTTAATTAAAGCAAAAGTAAGATTCACATTTCAGCTAAAAAGATACATATTGTAGATTATACTGAGAAAAAGGGTTTTTTGTGTTGCACATCTGTGTGAAAATTGGATGAAAAACACTGGGAAACACATCTTACATTGAGTTTTAGCTGTAATTATACTCAGTCTGAGTGTGGCATTCCCATTCCTCCAGCATGTATTTTGCATATATTCTTTTACTTTACTGCCTTTCTTTTTATTACACTTTTATCAATATTTTAATGCTCTTGAGGGTAGTGTTTGGTTTTTAAGCTGATGGCAAAGCCCTTTCTTCTTTCCCACTGGCAAGATAGGCTGGTCAGTTGTTTCGGTTTCAGGTCCCTCAGACTTTCTTCCTCTACTGGCAATGAGTCCAGCTATGGTAACTAAGACTGTAAACCACATCAGGATAAGCTGTAAGATAGGACCAGTCATCATTTGTAGTTTGGCCCTACCAAGAAACAAATTATAATGGATACAGGCAGGACACTTTATACTCTTGTTTCTTTAAAAACAAACGAATAACTGTATACTGTAGAAGAAATCACTCTTTGCTTTATCTTGATAGAGGTGTCATACTACTGCATGATGGTTAATATTCTCACTTATTACAATTTCTGTAATAAGTACTGCAAAACAACCGATGCTTCCATTTTAAACTGTTTCTTCTATTCTAAATAGCATTTTAATCAATTTCAAAGCAGGAGGGGCAGAAGCAAACATTTGATTTTAGAACAGTCCTAAATGTAAGATTCAAGAGAGAATCACATTTCGGTTAAGTAAGTTTTCCATGTAACTTTTGTGAGGGGAGAACTAAGATTGCACAGTGGCAGCAACTGGGCAGAGCTCCAAAACCCAGGAAATTAAAGTTAGGTAATTTTATTCTCTGCAAAACAGAAAACATAAATTAAGTTAATAACTATTTGATTTTAGAACAGTCCTAAATGTAAGATTCAAGAGAGAATCACATTTCGGTTAAGTAAGTTTTCCATGTAACTTTTGTGAGGGGAGAACTAAGATTGCACAGTGGCAGCAACTGGGCAGAGCTCCAAAACCCAGGAAATTAAAGTTAGGTAATTTTATTCTCTGCAAAACAGAAAACATAAATTAAGTTAATAACTACACTCTAATACTCTTTTCTTTCACACATTGAAATATCAACTCACACAGCTATGAACTACTGCCTTGCTGGAAGGCTCTTAGATTAAGCACAAATATTCAAGTGGCCCAGTCAAACTAAATGCCATTCCACTTCAGCTTTTAATGCATAAAGTGGAATGAGGCAGGCAAAAGGAATGATCAAGGCACTAAATGTCCTACTATTGACTGCATATGTAAACAATTGAGTCAATTTTTATACCCTAAACCAAGAATTTGACAAACCAAAAGGATTATACTGGTTTAATCATTACCACTTAGTGCCATTTTAGCAGATGGCAATGGTGTTTCACACTAATTTGGCTCAGAATTTGGCTCACACTGAGTGTGGATGAACTCAGAATTCTGCTGGAGCAGCACCCAGTTCCAGATAGTAACATTTGTTTACTCTCAGGGTGTAGTTCTCTTTGAACAGTGAGCTGTGCTTAAATAAAAGGAAAGTTCCATCCCACTGGACCGAATACAAATGCGTCAAAAAAAGAGACAAATGCATGCACAAAACCCCTCTAAGTGAGGTATCACAACAGAAACAGCTGCCTATTTCCTCCTAATATTGCTATATATCACTGTATTAACTGTACTGACTGTATAGTCTGTAACTAGCTTAATTAAACAAATTTGATGAATTTCATTCTATTCATAGATGAAACTACATTAACTTAAGTGTCTTAACACAGAAAGCATTTGCAGTTACTTTCATACTAACAGCTGTAGGATCATGAGTTTTTTCTTCACAGCATAGCCATAAAGGCCTAATCCTGATAGACACTCTGTGTTTTCACTGAAGTCTTAAATTTACTGAACCTGAACCTGCCAACAGCAAAGGTTATGTAAAATAAGTTTGAACAAGATACTGCTTAATGAAATCTCAGTGAGTGCTACTCACTAAGACCTCACCAAAAATACTCGAGTCAAACAAGAACATGAAAATATACTGCAGGGTAAAGCCAAAGTCCTGCAAATCCTTCAGTTTTTCCCAGTCTAGAAAATGCACTCCCATTTGGAGGCCCTGGGATCTACACTGGGTAGGGACTAAAGTGGAAGACTAATGCCCTTTGACATAAATCTTCCCAAAATAAGATTGGCTTCCCCATCTCTACACATTAGCAGGGTGAGAGGGGAACCAGCATCTATAAACATAAACGGGCAGAAGTTCAGCATATTTCATATAGGATCCCTAAGCCTTTGCACTTGGCAACTAGGCACTCCACTTGCAAATTAAATATGAGCTGCTTAATAGCTGGAAAAAGCCTGATAGTTTCTGTCTCCGTTGAATCACTCTGGATAGAAAGCAAAAAATCAGACTGTTGTTATGTAGTAAAATCACATAAACAGAAGTGGCAGGATGAGGAGAAATGAAATATCCCACTAAAAGCCTGCCATAATTATGAAGTTGTATTTAAGACACTGGTTAAGCTTGTGAACATTAAAAATCCCAGTTACAGCACATAAAGGATAAATACAAACTCATTCCTTTGATGTCTGTTGTCCAATTCCTGTGTTTGGGTAACTGAAGAACTGAAAACAAACCCAGCAATGCAGAAAAAATAAATACCTATAATTTATATTTCCTAGGTAAAGTGAACTGCATTAGGGCACACAGCAGGAACAAAAGATTACAAGCAGAGATTAAACAGACACTTAGGGCATAAGGTAGCAAAGGTGTAAACCAACTCTGGAGTATGAAACTGCAGGAACAGGAAACAGAAAACAAAAAACTGACAGGAAGGCAAACAGAAAGACAAGGAATTGAAAAGATAATATGGATACTGAAGAATCAGCAGATTGTGGAAGAAACCAGAGAAATTACAGTACAGCTGTAACATCACTTTTTGTAGGGCAATAAAATCATATTTTAAGAATTAGGAAGTTCCAAAATCCACTGAGAGAGGCTCTGCCACATGTTCTAACACATGGGAGGGTAAAGAAAAACAAACTTGAAAAAAAGGAGGAAACTAAAGGAAATTGAATGGTATCACATCTTTCTGATGCTGAAATAAAAGGAACTGACAACTTTTCATTCTGTAAGTGAAGGCCCTGGAGGTTCACAGCCTTGTCCTTTTCCAGCCTCCAGCAAAATGTCATGATTGCAGATTTGGTTTCTAACTGCTGCAAAGATTTTTCACACTTTAGGAAACAGCATTTGCATTTCAGCGCACAGTTAGGAAACCAGGTCACCAGGAATTAAGATGCCTGTTTGTCACAGTTTGGTTTGATATATTACATGATCCAAAATTGCTTGGAAGTTGTTGCAACTTAAAGAGAAATCACTACTTGAAATCAAGTTCCTCTAGTCTAGCCAAGTGAGGAAATGATGGCAACAGGTAAAGTACGCTGCAAAATATAATTAGCTTTTCATATAAATGCTAATTTTATTACACTGTTTTCTTCTTCTCCCATATGTAACTGATGAGCAATTAAAGTGTAAAATGTGGTTTCCTTCTTAAACATTTAAATTAAATAATCACAACAGGCAAAATTTTGAAGTGCAATTGTTTGTAAAAAAAAAAACCAACCACAAAACCAAACCAAACATCTTCAGTAATAGTACTAATGGTTTTCAACATGCTACTAGTAACACAACAAACCAGGCACAATAAAAATGTCTTTAGCCGTGAGTAGTGGCTGTGCAAAGTCATCAAGACTTGAATCATTTTTCAGATGGAAAACAAGGTAATCTGCAAGACCAGAATTCAAAGTGGATTTATCTATGCAGTTAGATTTGCGTTTTGAAAGCAAAAGGCTAAACTTTTGCAAAAGCTTGTAAAATGTGGATCTTGAAACAGGAGCACAGATGGTCAGAAGAGACCAATGCAGGTCAAACTGCATTCAGGTTAACTCCTTACTCTCTAATGAAAAAGTCTACCCTAAAATCACATCAGATGTAACTTCAGGAAAACATGTTTTCACAGATTTCCAAATCCTTACAAAGGGCACTATCCACCAGCAAACCTCCCCAAGTACACTGATCACAGTTTTCCTTACCTTTAAAAATAACAGAAACGATAGGATCAGGTTTCCCAAACTTGGTTTTAGGGATATTGGTAGCAGATTCCACGATCACCCGGAGCATTGTGTTCCCTCTTGCCTAAATGTTGACTGTTACCAAGGAAATTCAAGGAAGTCTAAAGTTTCACAGTCCTTAACGTCTGGACTGAAACGCTGGCAGGAAGAGGAGGCAAGGAATTGCTGGTTTACAGTAAAGGTCCATGGGTGGATCTGTGACGGACGAGTTCCTCAAAGCTATGAAAAAAACCTCCTGTAAGTTGACACCAAACTCTGTCTTGCAGCACAAAAAGAGCTCTCGATGTAACAGAATCATGTAACAGAAAAGACTCGGAGAAAAAACGAGCACAGATTTTGTTGTTGTTGCTGTTTTTATTCATAAACTGCATAATAAATAATCAGTAAACAAGGCAAGAATAAGCAAAAGCAACACAAACATTAAGCACGACTCTAAGACTCGAAATAAATCATATCTGCATCTTGGTCTACCAAGGAATGAAATTTCCCGATGGCTTGAATTTTTTTGTTCCTCTTAATTTTTAGAAGTTCATCGTTTGCAAATGGTTTTGGCTTGGCTCCGTGTCAGCCCTCCAGCCACGAATTAGCGTTGGTTCCCAAAAACAGGGCAAGTTCTCCCCCTCCCGTTGTGTGCTGGAACAACGACGTGCCACGCAGTAAGTCCTGCAGGTTCCTAAAGGGAGAGGCTGGATTTAGGAGATCTCTTGAGAATGTGTTAAAATGTATATATGCATCATTAGAAATGACAAAGAATTAAGGAAATGCGTGCAAAAAAATGTGGTAAGCCCCTCTGTATTGTTTAGACTGACTTGATCAATGGCTGAGGACAACTGCATGAGGGTCAGTAAGGCTCAGCACTGGTCCTGCCCTTGAGACACAACAACTCCATCAAGCTCCAGGCTGGGGGAGGAGTGGGGAGAGAGGTGTTGGTCAGAAAAGGACTTGGGAGTTCTGGTGACAGCGGCTCAATATGACCCAACAGGGTGCACAGGTGGCCACGAAGTCCAAGGGCATCTTGATCTGGCTCAAGAGCAGTGTGGCAGCAGGACTAGGGCAGGGATCATCCCCCATCGGGTTTGGGCACTCACTGAAAAAAGGGGTGACCTCATGGCTCTCTCCAACTCCCTGACAAGGGCTTGGAGAGAGGTGGGGAATGGTCTCTCCTGCCATGGCTGCAGGGAGAGGACTAGAGGAAATGGCCTTGAGCTGAGACAGGACAGAGTCAGAGGAGATGTTAGGAAACACTTTTTCCCTGTTAGGGTGTTCAGGCACTGGAGTAGGGAATTGCCCGGCGAGGTGGTGGAGTCACCATCCCTGGAGGTGTCTGAAAGGCATCTGGATCTGGTGATGGAAGATATGGTTTAGGGTTTAGTGATGGGTTAATGGTTGGACTCAGTGATCATAGAGGTCTTCTCCAACCTTGATGCTTCTACGATTCTATGAAATGTTTTAACATAAACACATGCTGTAATGCTGCATTAACATGGAAACAGGTAGAACTTAGCTGTCAAGCACCTAGCTCTGAGCTCCTCCTGCTCAGTGTTACAGCAGGTTTACTCAGCTGTGGAACAGGTGTGAAAACCTAAGAGGTGCACATTGCCAGCACCACATGTTCCTGCATAGAGATGAGAGAGGAAGGCACACCCATGGGGTAAAATGAATCATGTGTGAGCACAGTTCAGCCTGGGTTTTATATGATCACATGAGAACTACCCTAGCTTATTTTGAAATTTCTAAAGGTATTGGATTTTGGGTAGATGAAGAGGATTTCTGAAGAGGACAAAGTAATCTAAAGCACACATGCTCAGGAAGGAATGAGGACAGAGACACATAGGACATAGTACTGAGTTGGCCCTGAAGACTTGTCCAAAGCATCACAGCAGGTTCACAGCATCACAGAACTGGTCAGGTTGGAAGGGACCACAGTGGGTCATTTGGTCCAACCTCCCTGCTCAAGCAGGGCCATGCTAGAGCACGTAGCACAGGATTGTGTCCAGATGGTTCTTGAACACCTCCAGTGAGGGAGAATTCACAACCTCTCCGGACAATCTGTTCAGTGCTCAGTGCACAGGAAAGAAGCTCTTCATCATTTTCAGGTGGAACTTCTCATGCATCAGTTTCTGCCCATTGCCTCTTGTCCTATTGCCTGACACTACTGAGAAGAGCCTGGATCCATCCTCTTGGCACTCTCCTTCCCGATCCTTGTCTACGTTAATGGGGTCTCTTTCAGTCATCTCTTTTTGAGGCTGCACAGCCCCAGCGCCCTGAGCCTTTTGTCATAAGATAGATGCTCCAGTCCTTGGATCAACTTCGCTGCCCTCCACTGGACTTGCTCCAGAAGCTCCATGTCCCTCTTGTCCTGAGGAGCACAGAACTGGTTTGCACCCAACCAGAACTAGGTCGTTTCACCCTCAGCCATCCCGG